TTGGGCCGTTTTGGGAATGCACCGTGATCATTGCACTCCAAGCAACAACATCTTTCTGATACAGATGATCGAAGAGATTTCTAGCAGAAACAACTTCACCAAACTTAGCATACATATGTAGAAGTGAAGTCCCAACGGAAGTGAAAGCCAAGAATCCACTTTTCAATACATAGCAATGAAGTGCAAGTCCAGATTGAGCCTCTCCCTCATGAACTATGGCTGAAATTGTATCCTGAAGAATCCATTCATCTGGTTGAGAGCAAGAAAGATGCAGAATTGAAAATGTACCAAGTGCTTTACTAGGAAACCCATTCTCCATGCACCCACGGATCATTGTCCTCCAAGAGATGACATCCTTATGCTGAATCCCACTGAAAACTCGGATCGAGTTGTCAAGATTCCCACATTTTGCATACATATCTACGAGTGAATTTTGAACGTTGGTGAGATGGAAAAATATTCTTCTTACAGCAAACCCATGTATCTGCCTCCCAAAGGATAAAGCACGAAGAACACTACAAGCAGGCAACACGGACACAACGCTCACATGGTTAGCTTTCACATCATTAAACTGCATTTCCCTGAAACAATCAATGGCCTCCATGTACAGTCCATTCTTGACACAAGCCGAGACCATTACACTCCAGAAAACAACATCCTTATTAGCGTGCATCTGATCAAACAATTTCCAAACAATCTCCATATCATTATATATTGAATATGAGCTAAGAAGAGCTGTTAAAACCGATGGTTCTGCTTCAAAACCCATTCTGATCACCAAACTATGAACCACTGTTATCAGATCTTCCCAATTCAATGCACTAACAGCCCTTATTACAGTCAATATGGTAACATAATTAGGCTTTTGAGCACTCCTGAGCATCAATCTGAACAACTCAATGGCCTCCTGAGGCTGATTCTTCCTCACCAAACCGGAGATTTTCGATGTCCAAGAAATCAAATGGTCGTTTTCGATATAAAAATCAACTGCCCGTTTATTACATAGAGTAGAACAGCAGTAGGAGATTCCTGTACAGCATCTCCTATTAGTGTGTCTCTTAGAAATTTCTACAAGCAGTTTGCATGGATTGCGAATAAGAGAATACATGATATCATTAACTCAAGGCTACACTGATTTCAGAGCAAAGAAACTATTTGAATCTTTCGAAAATTGCGTGGAGAAAAAGGATTTTCCTTCTTGTTGAAGAGACAAATTTCTCCCCATCCGAACAACTGAAAAAGGTTACCGTAGTGTGGGGAAGAAGAGAAGAATTACCAAAGCGCAGCGTCGACTGGCACTAAAACGGCAACGTTTTTAGGCACATAAACTACCAAAATACAGCAACGTGTGGAGTAAGCTATTAATACGACGCAGTTTTACATTATTTGGTCTTAAACAGAGTACAATTATGATCTACGCTAATAAAATAT